GTCCTCTTTATCTTTTAGATAAGTCACTGTGATTTGATAATCAAAATATTAGAGGTAGGAAGACCAGTTGAAGGTTATTATTTAGGCAAGAGGTTATAATGTCCTAAATTAATAGACACAAGAATTGAAAGGGGTATATTTGACAAATATTTAGAAGGTAAGATTGATAAAGCTTGGAAAAGGAGGGAGAAAGAGGATTGATCCCAGGAGTAATGAGCCCATTCACTGAGACCAGGAATACAAGAACAGGTTTTAGATGAGTTCCATGGGGATTATGAGTGCAGCTGAGAACAAGGACAGAGAGATCATAAGGTAAGAATGATGGAGAGAGTTAACTCTTCTAAGGAAAACTAACATTAAAGAGATAAAAAGAAAAAGAGGAGTTCGTGGAAGAGACCAAAAAGGAAAGGGGTCACAAGAGTAGGAGGAATGCCAGTAGAGGGCACTTTCAGAAAAGCCATTAAAAGACAGCCTGGAGAAGGGGGAGCCTGGGTGGCTCAGACTGTTAAGCATCTGACTCTTGATTTTGGCTCAGGTCATGATCTCAGGGTCCTGGGATTGAACCCCATGTCAGGCTCCATGCTCAGTGTGGAGTCTGCATGAGGATTCTCTCCCTCTCCCTCTGCCCCTCACCCTGCTCACATTCTCCCTCCCTCCCTCTCTCTCTCTCAAATAAATAAATCTTTAAAAAAAAAAAAAAGACAACATGGAGGGGTGCCTGGATGGCTCAGTTGGTTAAGTGTTGGACTCTTGATCTCAGCTCAGGTCTTGATCTCAAGGTCATGAGTTCAAGCCCCTTGTTGGGCTCCACATTAAGCGTGGAGCCTACTAAAAAAAAAAAAAAGACAACATGGGAGTGGGTTACTACATGGGATTGTTAGTTTAAAAAAAGCAAATGTGGTAGGTCATGATGACAATGGCCCCAATGTATCCATGCCTTCCTGCGTCCATGCCCCCTTGCAACTGACATTGCTGCTTCTCCCAAGAAAGGGAGTCTACCAGGGCGCCTGGGTGGCTCAGTTGGTTAAGCGACTGCCTTCGGCTCAGGTCATGATCCTGGAGTCCCGGGATCGAGTCCCGCATCAGGCTTCCTGCTCTGCAGGGGGTCTGCTTCTCCCTCTGACCCTCTTCCCTCTCATGCTCTCTATCTCTCATTCTCTCTCTTTCAAATAAATAAATAAAAATCTTTAAAAAAAAAAAAGAAAGAAAGAAAGGGAGTCTACCCCTTCACTCATTGACTCTGGGCTAGCTTTGTGATTTGCTTTAACTCATTGAATGGGATTAAAAATTATGTTATTCAAATTCCAGAACCTAGGATTTAGAGGCCTCGCAGCTTCTCCTCTTACCCTGTTGGAATCCAGAGTCCACCATGCTGAGAAGAAGTCCAGTCCACTCTACCGGAAAATACAAGGCCATACGGAAGACAACCAGAGTGCTTTGAAAGACAACTAGCATCAACTGCCAAATCTGTGAATGAGGACATTCTGGACCCTCCAGTCCCAATGAACTATGAGATGACGACAGACACATGAATGCTCCCAGCCAAGACCGATGACAGAATCATCCAGATTGCCAACCCACAGAACTATGAGAAATAATAAGCCATTGTTTTAAGCCAGTAAATTTTGGGCTAGTCTGACATACAGCAAAGGTTAACCAAAACAGAAATCAGTATCAATTGTGCAGAGCCTCCATAACAAAGGGGTAAAACATGTGACATTAGCTTTGGGAGTTGGGGGTGAGCAGAGTCAGAGAGCAGTGCAAAAACTGGTTTAAGGGGCAGAAGGGAGGCATCTGTGTTAATGAAGAGGCCCCACAATGGGCAATACTGTCACCTGAGGCCACTTGGAAGGTGGAAAATGTGCCCAGTGAACTTGGCTACTAAGAATATTTCTAGATTTCTAATATTCTAGAAATATTAAAACTATTAACTGTTTAAGCTACTTATGATAAAGCATGGGAAGAAAGAGAGAAACCAAGGAGAAGCAGTTTACTCTGCAGCAGAAATTAGAGAAAATCTAGAGTCCATGATTTGCCAGGTTGCCAACTAAACTTGTTTCTCATCTGCAGTCTCTCCAGCTCGCAAAAGAGCTAAAAGTAAAGATCAAATCTAGAGCGCTGACAGTAAAATATGGCCTTGGGTTCAAGATCAAATCAGGGGTGTGCCTGAAAACCCCTTGTGAAGTCCACTGAAAGATTAAAGCTGGCACTCACACTATCTTCTCAAGCAGACAAAAGGCTTTCTCCGGCTCTTATCTTCAGACATGGAGCCTGTCTGAAAAGGAATTGTGGAGTAGACTATAATCAGATTGATTGAAAATACACACGTTTTTAAGGAAATTGTACCAGGTTGGACTAAAAAAGACAGAAATTATTCTAAATGAATAGAAACATCCCAAGTTTCTACTGACAAATCAGGCTGAAAAGGCCAGTCAGCTACAAACATAGATTATTTCCCATGGAAATGTAAAGAATAAGGTGCTCTGGTGCATATTCCCAGCTGGATTTCAGAATTGCCATGGACCAGTGATTAAGTATTTCCTGTTATTCCCCTTCTTGAACAGAAGTGTCTGTTGATTGGCACTAAATGTTGGGGAGTGGGGTGAAGGACAGATAACTTGTTTCTTAGTTCATAGCTCTCCAGATCAAGAGGAATCATACTTAAAGAGATGCAATCAAGGAGCCTCAGCATACCTAGACCAAATGCAGATCATGAGATACTGGACTTTGAGTCTGATACCATAATAAGATGAAGCTTGGTATGTGTGTGTGGTGGTGGAGGTCTTAGAAAAGGATAAGTGTATTTTGTTTATAGGAGGGATATAAATATTTGTGGCCAGCAAGCACACTGTGACATATTAAATATGGTTACATCCTAAATTTGTTTTCCTTTTCTTCTTTTTTTTTTCCTTATATCTATATGAGAAGATGGATGTTAGCAAAACCTACCATGGTAATCATTTCACAATATATGTAAATCAAACCATCATTCTGTATGCATTAAACTTATGCAGTAATGTATGTCAATTATTACTCAAAGTAAAACTGGGTGGGGGGAAGCATCCAAGAAAAAACAAACAAACAAAAATATGGTCACAAATTCTTTGCATCTCTTACCATTGAGAGGTTGGGTCTATTGCCCCCAACCCTTGAATTAACATGGCCTTTTTTACAAGTCTGGTAGTAGGGTACCAACTCTTGGCTGCATGCCTCAGTTTGTTTTTATGTGGCCTCTCATTCTTCAGAGGCAAGCCAGTTTCCTCACATGATAATCACAGGTTGGTATTCAAAGTAGAAGGTGGGAGCTGCAAATCTTCTCAAAGCATAGGCTCTATGCTTTGCTCTAACATTCCCAAAGTCATTTCTGAAACATTTTATTGGTCAAAACAAGACATAGGAACAGCCCAAATTCAATGAGATAGGGGTAGCAGGGAGGGATATATGCACCAACTCTTAATAGGAAGCTCTACAGAAAATTTGTGACCATACTGTACTGCTCTGGGTAAGAAACTTTCAAACCCTGAAAATATTTTAAATTAAGTTTAGAAATGCTTAAAAAATGAAAACATGGTATTAATATTTTTGTATTAAGGAGAAATATGTTCTTCAACCAAAAAAAAAAGAGAAGAAAGAATTTATAGGTTAAAAGAGACTTAAAGGGCATATCCATTAATTACAATGTAATTGTAATTATACAAATACAAATTCAATTTTAAAAATACAAACTGTGAGGGGGCGCCTGGGTGGCTCAGTCGGTAAAGGGTCCGACTCTTGATTTTGGCTCAGGATCATGATCTCAGGGTCATGATCTCAGGGTTGTGAGATCCAGCCCCATGTTGGGCTCCATGCTCAGTGGGGAGTCTACAAGAGAATCTCTCTCTCCCTCTCCCTCTGCCCCTCCCCCTTCTTGCACTCATGCTCTCCCTCTCTCTCTCTAAAAAACAAATAAATAAATCTTTAAATATATGTATGTAAACTGTGAAAATACACATTGATCACATTGAGACAATTGGAAATTTGATCACTGACTTGATATTTGATGTTATTAAGAACTATTATTAATTTCTAGGTACAATTTTAACATTTACTATGTTTTTTAAAAGGCTTTAAAATTTTGAGATACATACTGAAGTATTTACAGATGAAATAATATGATATCTGGAATTTGTTTCAAAATAATATGGAAGGAAGAGTAGTGAATGAGGCTGCAGATGGGGCAAGATTAGTCATGTTGGTTTTTAAGGCTGGGTGATGGGTACATAGGGACTCATTACAGTGTTATATCTACTTTTGTATATGTTAAAAATTCTTCATAATAAGTTTTAAATGGACTCTGGGCATAATGAATATATGGGCATATTTTTGTGTACTTGTAATATTGAATAAAATTTGTCCTATTAGATTATAACCCCAATGTAAAATATGTAATTTGATAAGTTGATTTAAATTTAATTTTACCTAGGATTCTTCCTTATTTTTAATATAAGTTATATAATATATATTTATTTATTTAAAAGTACAATCTTCCTTATATTAAAACGTTTAATCTTAAATCTTAAATATTTTAAGAGAATTTTTGATTCACTAGTTTTATTTTAATGTATTAGATTTGCAAGAGTTAAAAAAGCACTTTAGAGAATTTTATATAAAAAACTCAAATACATTAAATTTATAAAAGCAGTTTCAAATATTTGAAGATGTTTAGTTAAATAAGTACATAAATGGCACCAAATGCTATTCAAAGACCCCTCAAAAGTCAACTGCTAAAAATTACTAGACCTAGAAACAGAATAATAAGATTTGTGACTTGAACTTAAAGCCTAAGACATTTATTGTTATTTTTTAACTTTAATAAAGCAAACAAATTTTAATAACCAATAGGCTATCAAAAGGTGAAAAAATATTTTTTCTAGTCACCTGAAAGCCTTATGTAAGAAATAAGAGCATTGCAAGAATTAAAAATAAATAAATAAAAAGCAGATTATGTGAACTGTACCAACCATTTGTATTATAGCTACATGCAATCTGGCTTCTTCTATTAAAACTTCTTCTGTTGGGGACTCCTCCTCCTTTTCGTTATCATGTGAAACATGATAAGGATCAGACTAAGTTTAAAAACATAAGGAGATAAAGTTAAAAATAAGCTAAAGTATATAGGAGCTGCCAAACACATCACTCAACAATGATTCCAATAAATCAGAATTGCTAAAATGAAGGGCTATGTATAACTGGATTTGCTCTCTGTATGAGAAATCTTGCTTTTAATTGTGGTAAAGTAACAATTAATGTGGGGAGATTTGCAAGTCAGATTCTCCCCCAAACCTGTCTATGCTTGACCGCTCTCTGAAACAACCTATGTTTTCTGCTTTTTATAATAACTCCCCAAATGGTTGGAAACATGAGCTTGGCAGAAGCCATTCATAGTTACTAAATCAGCCAGTGCGTAAAAACGCCAATTCTCCTGTATTTGGCATATAAAGCCAGATAACCAAGACCTTCTCTTTAGAGAGAATTCAAAGTCTTTTCACCAAGATAGCAAAGCTAGTAAGTATATCCCCCTTCCTGAGTTTTCTGACATTTCATTAGCATGATCAAGTTTTTTATAATAAACTAAAGCAGGAGAAGCAGACCCAGGAGAAAAGGAGGACTATTTTTTTTTCCAGGTATCAACTCACAGGAATGTTGTATTCAATCTTTGTTTTTTCTTCTACTAAGGTCCAATTAACATTTGTCAAAATTTTTTCTGTTTTGAATAGTGTTATTGTGTTCTGTATTATCTCCTGAATGTGCTTAATGGCATTTTTCATGGCCATTTGCCTTGGGAGGGAAATAGCACACAAACCTGTGACCAAAAAAAAAAAGCAAGGGTCTTAATAGAATACAGTGAAAACTGCAAGAAGAGGCAAAATCCTGCAAGGTGTAGTGAAATCTTGCTGTAGTGAATCACCTGCACAGCCAAACCATAGCACTTGAGCAAGGACAACCTTTGGTCCAAAATTTCCCAGAAAATTACCCAACTATCTGTTTCTTCTGGCTGCAGAGCTCAACTTTATCTGACTCAACTGCTAAGGAATGCTTTATTCATTTCCTTTCATTCCCATTAGCTAGAGATGTGACTTTCTTCTTCAAGGTCCCCAATCAGTATTTCTCAAGGTGTAGGAAACTACTCCTGTCTTCTACAGGTGGGTAGGCTGCCTATTAAGCTATGCAAATTCCTTGGCTCCACCTCATACTTAGAGAATCAGCTTGGCCTCGGAATTTGCATTTGAACAAGTTCTCCAACTGATTCTTATAAAAATTTTTAAAATTTTAAATATAAAGTTCACTGCAATAGAGATCCCTCAAATTTAGTATATCTGTTTCCTGGCCAGCAAATCTACATGTTCCAAAAATTGTAGCCATTTGTATTCTCTTGAGGTATGAATTTGAAGTTATACCTGTGAGGCTCACTCACCAAAAAGAAGAATTTTTTTTTTTTTAAGATTCTATTTATTCATTCCACAGAGAGAGAGCACAAGCAGGGGAAGCAGCAGGCAGAGGGAGAGGGAGAAGCAGGCTCCCCCTTGAGCAGGGAGCCTGATGCGGGGCTTGATCCCAGGATCTGGGATCATGACCTGAGCCAAAGGCAGACACTTAACCAAAAGAGCTACCCAGGTGTCCCCCAAAAGAATTTAATTAGTGAATGAACTTAGTCTGCTCACTTGGAATTCCATCTCAATAAAATTGTTCTCTCTTCATAATTGCACATGAAAGGTCTCATAAAGAGTTAAAATGAGTTCTAAATGTTTAGCTTAACTTTACTGCATTCTCTACAGGACACTGTGTGTAATGATGGTATTTGAAATTTTCAGGATTCCAAAGGTCTGGAAGCATATCCCTCTTGATTCACTGTGGTCCAGAGCAAAGATACATGTGACTGTAGGCTAAAGTTAGAAGTTGTCAGCTTTAGGTTAAAAATTCCCATCGCTGAGACCACACAGAAGAAATTTTTTCTCATTTGCCTAGTTATATCCTACCCATATGATGGAGCACCCGCCACTTTCCAGTTGCTCTGGGGAAACATGAGTGTATGTGGACCACTTGGTGGCACCAATACATTTGAATCAACTCTCTGTGTTTAAGATGATCCTGGAAGAGTATGAGAAGGGAATCTCTTAAAGCCTTAGACTAGACAGAAGTAGTTGGTTTGAAACTCTTACTGATAAAACTCAACTCTGTCAAGTATTAAATATGTGCCACATAGTATTTCCAGAAAGGATGAGCATGGATTCTGAGGGGAGAAAGACCTTATCATATACTTCTGTTTTATAATGAAAATTTTTGAGGTTTAGCTACTACAATAAAAAAATTGGGGGCAGTGCCTGGGTGGCTCAGTTGGTTAAGCATCCAACTCTTGATTTCAGCTCAGGTCATGATCTCGGGGTCTTGGGATCAAGCCCCGCCTCAGGCTCCATGCTGAGTGTGAAGCCTGCTTGGGATTCTCTCTCCCTCTGCCCCTGCCCCTTGCTCTCACAACATACCCTCTCTCTCAAAAATAAATAAGTAAATAAATAAATAAATAAATAAATAATTTTTTTTAATTTTGTAAGGGAAGAAATAGAAAAAATATTACCATGAGATTAAAACCCCTGGTTGACCTTGCCTTTGAGGGTCAGAATGAGAGGAATCACAAGAAAAGAAGCATGGGAGAAATCCAGATGTTATATCCTAAGCAAAGAGAATGGAGTGGGTCTGGATCCCTGGGAGTCAAAGGAATTGGTGGGAAGGGGAGTGTGAGGAAGTCTTCAAAGATCAAATTAACTTTACTTATGCTCCAGTGTAGGCTTTTGATGATGAAGCATATCTTTCTACTGAGAAAAAGAACAAATCCATAACCGGGGAAAAGGAGAGCTACCAAAAATCTGCCCCATTTACTAACTCAGTTTACATACTGGAGCCCTTGGGTTTGAGGTGGGCAATAACAGGAAGTTCTGCTACAGTTTTCGTGGGGTCAGTTTTAGAAATGGGCATGACTGTGAAAAGACACAAGCGGGGAGTTGATGTCTCTCATGGGTATAGGATAGGGTAAATTTACCAGGCTATTTCCTTGTTTAGAAGAACTCTCCTTCAACATCATCCTTCCACTGACCTCTCATTAGGTCCATGCTTTCCAAGAAACTTTCTGACTACTAGTTTTGTTTATCAAGGAAATTGGTATTTAGAGATAAACACCCTGAATAATGATCACAATTATTTCAGACATAGAAATAAATCATCCTCATTATAAATTAATAAATTGATTTTCTGCTTTATCCACATTTTCCTGTGAGTGCAGTAAATCTCTAGCATTCTAATCAATTCTAGATACACTGAAAGAATCACACACCAGCAGAGCTAAAGACCAGGCCATGGGATAGTGAATGATACTAAGGCCCTATTCTAAGACTTCATGTAATCCCACCCCGCCTTCTCCATCCCTGGTTGACTGTACTGCCACCAATGATCTTACCCTAGATTTCTCTATTGACCATGTGTCTCTGTGTGATTTTATCATATTTATGCATTTTATTATCACTGGCCTCAAATGTCTTCTGACACAGGCAACTGTGGCACAGCCTACTGATTGTCACCCAATATCCATTTTCCCCTTCTTCTTTTACCAACTGAATCTCCAGGTTTTGGCTGAGCACATGGTCAACCAGATAGGGATCATATTTCACAGCTTCTTTTACCCATGAATGGCCATGTGACCAAATTCTGGCCAATGGAATGTGAGTGATAATGATACATACAATTTCTAGATTGTGCCCTTAAAAGGAAGCTGCTTACCTTCCATTGCCACCCATCTCCCCATTTCCCCTCTCTAGTTGGTTGGATTGAAGATACAGTGGTAGTGAGCCAGCTTCCACCCTGCAGACAAGAACAACACCCCAGGGATTGGAGGAGCAATAAAAGAGAAGCAGAACCATCCCACTCTTTTGGACATTTTGATGGAGGGGAAAAGAAAGTCCTCTATCTTGTTTAAGCCACTGTGAATATGGTTTCTGTTAAACTGGCTGAACCAATATCCCAATTAATACAGCATCTATAAATAATGAATGAAAATGAATGATTTCATAATCAATTCCTTGAACTCCATAAGAAATCCCCATGACTCCCAACAATAATCTGTTTGCATTATTTTCCCCAGTTAATTAATGAAAGATAGATATAGTTTACCTAGTGTCCTGGCTGAATGAGTCATCATGTATGAATTTATTCCCATAGTCATTAGTGATATTACCTGTACATACAATATAAACTAAAAAATAAAATACACAGTTAGAACCAAAAAAATGAATAAGTTCTCCAAAGGGAATCATTGTTTAACCACCAACAACAAAATTCTATCTTAATCCACATTTTTTAATCCTGATTCTGATAAGTAAATTGAGGCAGAAGGGTTGTTTTGGGACACTGCTTGAATAAAATACACTGGAGCAGATATTAGTTTTCAATGTGAATGAGAAAAGAGTTTATAATTTCTGGGAGGGATAAGAACACTGATCAAAGAGCTCCCCACCCTTGCTGCTTTTAGCAGCAGCCTTGCAAAGCCAGCAAGGTGGTAGGCATCCCTGCAGGGCTGGGGAGAAACCCCGCAACTTCAGGCAGTGGTGACCACAGCGGGGATGGGAAAGGGTATCTGCCACCAGCATTTACTACTGCTGCTCAGGAGGCTCTGAAGAAACCTGCAGAAACCATGGTGGGGTCTCGAGAGGCACCGCGCAGAAGCAAAAACAACGGCTTTTGCAGGTCTTGGCCCTGCCACTTATTAGCCATGTGATTTGGGGTCCGTTGACTTAATCATTCTGAGCCTCAGTGTCCTTCACTAGAAACTGGAGTTAATAGCAGTATGTCCTTTGGAGAGTGTTTCCCAAATTTGACTAATAACATTAGGCACCTGAAGTTCTTCTAAAAGATACCAACTTCCGGGTTTCTTCCCTGCAGATTCTGATTGTGTAGGTCTGGGGTGGCGCTAAAGGGATTGGTGTAACATCACATAGATTTGGGAAATACTGTAAGGGATATCAAATGTTAGTTAACATTTTGTTGACTTGATTTTAGGCTGATTCCTTGCACAAAAGAAAATTGAAGGAGCTCAGATGTTGGTTATGATACTTTTCCTTTGGGCCATGAAAGGACCCAAAATCTCTACAAAACCACAGGTTGGTTTGAACTCCAAATTAATTCCCACATGATGTCTATAGATAAAAAGTACAAATCCTCAGGAAAGATGGTAAGGAATATAATACTCCCATTTTAAAAAGAACTTCTTTTGGGAGTTAGGGCACCTGAGTTCTTTCCCTAATGAGCTATTCTCTTTGTTTTGATTTCTCGCAAGATGGAGAGGGTGATAACTGATCCCCCAAAGAAATTTTTATATTTTTATATTGTACTGCTGGGGTCTTTTGGAACAGAAGCAAAATGACAAAGAGAAAACCCTGGGCTGGAAATTGGCCAATATCAAGAAACTCTGTACATCTACCGGCAGATTAAATTTTCTTGGGAGGTGGGCAGGTGTTCTTAATTCACATTATTCGAGTGGCTTTTCTCCCTCCAACAGCAGGTTTGGAATCTATATGCATCTGACTTGGAGATGGTGGGGGTGTCCTGGGGATTTCTAGCAACTTTTAGCAACTTCTCCAGCTTAGCTCACACAGTATTGTCACAAATGACAAGGGGCCCTAACACTGTCAGCAGATGCACTGGACTCTTTGGGTCTTCCCTGGAGCTCAGTACCACAGGTATTGCCACCACCAGATTGCCCAGAAATCCACCAGCCAGCCTATGAAGAAAAGGCTTTGAGGGAGAGTAAGTAACATTTATTGAGCATTTGCTAAGTGGCAGGTATTTTACTAAGTATCATCTCAATCCTCAACTGGAAATTGAGGTTCCACAAATCTGGGAAACTTGCCCAAGGTCACCCAGCCTGTGATGGTGGAACCAGGATTCGATCCCAAGTCCATCTGATCCCCATACCATTAACCATTACTTGACTGTTGGTCCCTTTCATACTGTCAACATAAACAAACTTTCCTTTGAAAGTTCCTTTCTACTTAAAAGAACACATTTTTCAAATCTAATTTTTTAAATGGTTAACTTCGGGAAAAGGGAGAGAAGTTGGTGAAGGAGTAGGAGGACCCTAGGCTCATCTTGCCCCCATAAACATAACTAGATAACTATCAAATCATTCTAAATACCCCCAGAAATCAACCTGAAGACTGAAAGAACAAATCCACAACTAAAGGAAGAGAAGAAGCCACATCAAGGAAGATAGGAAGTACAGAGAGGTGGTTTGGGGGAAAAAGAGATTGTAAGTGCTGTGGAGGAGAGGGAGCCCTGGTCACAGAGAAAGGTGAGAGAGAGTGGCACACGGGGGAACGCACAAGGAGAATACTTCCCTAAAGCCATTGGCTGGAAAATGAGAGGGGCTACAAGTGGGACTTAAAGACGAGTTTTAAAGTCCAGCCGGCTTGGCTGGGATAGAGCCCTGGGGGAGCTGCCCTACTCCTGGAGAGAAGACAGACAGACAACCTGGGGGCAGATGGCATGGAAATAGCATCTGAAGAATGCCTAGGGCACACAGCAGGGAGATAATTTGCTCTTCTTGGAGCCTTACCTGAGAGGCAGGATTCACACCTCTCTCTGGAGACAAAGGAGCCAGCAGGTGCCATTTCCCTCCCCTGGCCCTCAGCATAAACACAGAGCCACCTTCAGGAGGCAGTACAGTGCCCACAGTGGCTGCCTAACCTGCTTATGCCAAGTCCCAGCCCCCTGAGCTCTGGCACACCTGCCCTCCATCAAGCTTGCCTCTGTCCCAACATGGACAGCCCCTTCCCCAGAAGGCCAGCAGAAATCCCTGCCCACATCATGTCTCCTGACCAGAGTTCTGCAGGGGTACAGTTCTAGTGGAAGTAGTATCAGGTCTCATTTAACAAGCAGACCTAGCACACCTAGATAAAACTCACTACACTCTGGCCAAGTGCCCACTGCCGGCAAGGAGAGCCTTTGCAGACAACTGGCCTGAAGGATACAGCAACCAAAACACCACAGCAGAGTGCACACAACACACACCAGAGACACTCTCTGAAGTGCCATACCCTGGACACTCTATGACCTCTTCTTCATAAAGCCATTACTCTCAGGAGCAGGAAACATAACTGGCTTTTCTAACACAGAGAAGAAAGCAGAGGCTTAGCCAGAATATCAAGTTGGAGGAATTCATCCCACATGAAAGAACAAGATAAGGTCACAGCCAGAGATCTAAGTGAAACAGTTATAAGTAACATGCCTGATGGAGAATTTAAAGCAACAATCATAAAGATACTCACTGGGCTTGGGAAAAGAATAGGAGATTTCAGGAAGACTCTTACCACAGAGATAATAGAGTTAAAAAGGAATCTGTCAGAAATGAAAAATTCAATAATTGAGACCGGAAACAGGCTTGAAGCAATGAACACAGGCTGAAAAAGGCAGAGGAAAAAAAGAGTGATATAGAAGACAAAATAATGGATAATAAGGAAACTGAACAAAAGAGAGAAAGAATTATGGAACATGAGAATAGACTTAGGGAACTGAGTGACTCCATCAAAAGTAATAACATTCATATAGAAGAAGAAGAGAGAAGGGGGGCAGAAAATTTATTTGAAAAAATAATAGCAGAAAACTTACCTAATGTGGGGAAGGAAACAGGTATCAAAATCCAGGAGGCACAGAGAACTCCCCTCAAAATCAACCAAAGCAGGCCAACACCAAGACATATTGTAATTAAATTTGCAAAATATAGTGATTAAAAAAAATCTTGAAAGCAGCAAGACAAAAGAAGTCCTTAACTTACAAGGGAAGACAGATTAGGCTAACTGCAGATTTCTCAACAAAAATATGGCAAGCCAGAAGGGAGTGGTAGGACCTATTCAAAGTGCTGAATGGGAAAAATGTGCAACCAAGAATATTCTATCCAGCAAGGCTATCATTCAGAAGAGGAGAGAAAAAGAGTTTCCCAGACAAACAAAAACTAAAGGAATTTGTGACCACTAAACCAGCCCTGCAAGAAATATTAAAGGGGACCCTTTGAGTGGAAAGACCAAAAGTGACAAAGACAAGAAAGGAACAGAGAACATTTCCAGAAACAATGACAAAACAAGTAATAAAATGGCACTAAGTACATATCTATCAATAATTACTCTGAATGTAAATGGACTAAATTCTCCAATCAAAAGACATAGGATAAAAAAAAAAAAAAAACAAGACCCATCTCTATGCTGCCTACAAGAGTCTCATTTCAGATCTAAGGTCACCTGCAGATTGGAAGTGAGGGGGTGGAGAAACATTTATCATGCAAATGGATAGCAAAAGAAAGCCAGAGTAGCAATATCACTAGTCAGAGCCCTTAACAATGTTCCTTTGGAGATGCCCCACCTTCTTGTTTTTTTTTTTATTGTGACCTTGTCAAAAGTCACCAGTCCAAGATGGTAGAACTTTTGGAATTGTCCTACCAAGGCCTGCAAAGGTGAAATCTTCCTAGTATCCATCTTTTGAGGCTTTCTAGATTTTAGGTTAAGAAAGCCACTTGAGATTTTATACTCTTCTATCTTGCCTTCTGTATCCTCAAAACTAGTACCTAATCAGAAAGACTGCCTGCTTCTGGGCTTGCATTGCCCTCTGAATCTAAAACTAACTTTTTTTCAGATGGATTAGAAAATATTTACACAATAATCTCCATTAAAATCTTTGGAGGGAAACAGAAGGAATCTTTTTCCAAGATGTCAGGGCTTTTCCTCTCAGCCTCTGAACCTGGGGAAAGTACCTGGGATTCCTTCCTACCCTGGGGTGAGGAGAATAGCCTTTTAATAAAGTCGATAGGAAACACTGAGTATGGAGCTGTGAGGATAATCACTTCAAAACTGCCTGCATCTATGGCGAAGAAAGGAAGAGCTGTCATTGCTGATTAGGATTATGAATGGGGGAGTCATTTTAAACCTTCTGGGGAACAATGGATTTCACAGGGCATTGTTTCTATAACACTTAAATCCTTGTTAATTATCCCACAAAGAAAGCTCTCTGGTGACTCAGAGGCTAGGAGTTGGCCCAGTTGGGGGTGGAGGGTAGAAGGCTGCAGCCAGGAAGCTTGAAGGGCTGTGGGGAAAGGGTGAGATGTTCTGAGACCTGGGGCCAACTTCATTCTGGGCTTGCCTGTTTGTGTGTTCCGTTTGGCTCTGGGCTGGATTCTGGGGAGAGATGGGCTTGCTGTTCAGAGGGCATGAAGTTCTGCCTTAGACTAAATGATGCTTACAGTTGTGACTCTTTTCTCCTCCTATGCTGCGCTGAAGTGATGGAGACTAGGCTGTGTTACAAATAAATCATTTTTTGTTGTTTTTGTTATATATATATATATATCAGACAAACTAGAGTAGCAATATCACTAGTCATATATATATATATATATATATATCAGACAAACTAGACTTTAAAATAAAGACTTAACAAGAGATGAAGAAGGGCACTCTATAATAATAAAGGGGATAATACAACAAGAAGATCTAATGATTGTAATTATTTATGCACCCAACATGGGAGCACCCAAATATATAAAACAATAATACATAAAGGAACTAATTGATAATAATACAGTAATAGTAGGGAACTTTAACACCCCACGTACATCAATTCACACATCATCTAAACAGAAAATCAACAAGGAAACAATAGCTTTGGATGACACACTGGACCAGATGGACTTAACAGATATATTCAGAACATTCCATCCTAAAACAGCAGAATACACATTCTGTTCAAATACACATGGCACAGTCTCCAGAATAGATCCCATACTAAGTCACAAATCAGAACTCAACAAGTACAAAAAGACTGAGATCATACCATGCATATTTTCTGACCACAATGCTATGAAACTTAGTCAACCACAAGAAAAAATTTGGAAATACCACAAACACACAGAGGTTAAACAACATGCTACTAAACAATGAATGGGTCAACCAGGAAATCAAAGAATAAATTTAAAAATACATGTAAATAAATGAAAATGAAAACAACAGTCCCAAACCTCTGGGATGCAGCAAAAGTGGTCACAAGAGGGAAGTATATAGCAATACAGGCCTTCCTCAGGAAGCAAGAAAAATCTCAAATAAACAACCTAACCTTACACCCAAAGGAACTAGAGAAAGAACAACAAATGAAGCTAAAGCCAGCAGAAGAAGGAAATAATAAAGATTAGAACAGAAATAAATGATAAAGAAACAAAAAAACACAATAGAATAGATCAATGAAACCAGGAGCTGGTTCTTTGAAAAAATTAATAAAATTGATAAACCCCTAGCCAGACTTATCAAAAAGAAAAGAGAAAGAACCCAAATAAACAAAATCACAAATGAGAGAGGAGAAATAACAACCAACACCACAGAAATACAAACAATTATGAGAGAAGATTATGAAAAACTATATGCCAACAAATTGGACAACCTGAAAAAAAAAGGATAAATTCCTAGACACATATAAACTACCAAAACTGAAACAAGCAGAAATAGAAAACTTGAACAGACTGATAACCAGCAAAGAAACTGAATCAGTAATAAAAAATCTCCCAAAAAACAGAAGTCCAGGGCCAGATGGCTTCACAGATGAATTCTACCAAACATTTAAACAAGAGTTAATACCTATTCTTAAACTATTCCAAAAAGTAAAAAAGGAAGGAAAGCTTCCAAATTTATTCTATGAGGCCAGCATTACCCTGATACCAAAAATCAGAAAAAGACTCCCCTAAAAAAGAAAACTACAGGCCAATACCCCTGATGAACATGGATGCAAAGATTCTCAATAAAATACTAGGAAACTGAATCCAATAGTACATTGAAAGAATCATTCACCAGGATCAAGTGGTATTTATGCCTGGGCTGCAAGAGTGGTTCAATACAAATCAACCAATGTGATACACCACATTAACAAAAAAAGAAGGATAAGAACCATATGACCCTTTCAATAGATGCAGAAAAAGCATTTGACAAAGTACAGCATCCATTCATGATAAAAACCCTCAAGAAAGTAGAGTTAAAGTAGAACATACCTCAATGTAATAAAGGCCATATATGAAGAACCCACAGGTAACATCATACTAATGGGGAAAAAGTGAGAGCTTTTCTCCTAAGGTCAGGAATAAGACAAGGATGTCCACTCTCACCACTGTTACTCAACATAGTACTGGAAGTCCTAGCTACAGCAGTCGGAAAACAAAAAGAAATAAAAAGCATCCAGATCAGCAAGGAAGAAGTCAAACTTTCACTATTTGCAGATGACATGATACTCTATATAGAAAACCCAATGGGTCCACCAAAAAATTGCTACAACTGATACACGAGTTCTCGCTTCGGCAGCACATATACTAAAATTGGAACGATACAGAGAATATTGGCATGGCCCCTGAACAGGGATGACATGCAAATTTGTGAAGCATTCCTTATTTTTAAGATAATTATCATATGGTTTCACTCATATGTAGAATATAACGAATAGCGCAGAGCATCATAGGGACAGGGAGGGAAAACTGAATGGGAAGAAATTAGAGAGGGAGACAAACCGTGAGAAACCCTTGACTCCGGGAAACAAACTGAGGGTTGCAGAAAGGGAGGTGGGTGAGGGGATGGGGTAACTGGGTGATGGGCAAAGGAGGGCCCATAATATGATGAGCGCTGGGTGTTATACGAAACTAATGAATCATTGAACATTACATCAAAAACTAATGATGTATTATATGTTGGCTAATTGAATTTAAATTAAAAATGAAAAAAAAAAGAACTGCTACATGAATTCTGTAAAGTCACAAGACACAAAAACAACATACAGAAATCTGTTGCACTTCTATACACCAATAACGAAGCAGCAGAAAGACAAATTATAGAATCAATCCCATTTACAATTGCACCAAAAACTCTAAGATACTTAGGAATAAATGTAGCCAAACAGGAGAAAGACCAGTACTCTGAAAACTATAAAACAGTAATGAAAGAAATTGAAGAGGACACGAAGAAATGGAGAGATATTCCATGTTCATCTATACCACCCAAAGCCATTTACACATTTAATGCACTCCCTATCAAAATAACACCAGCATTTTTCACAGAGCTAGAACAAACAATCCTAAAATTTGTATGGAACTACAAAAGATCCCAAATAGCCAAAGCAACCTTGAAAAAGAAAAGCAAAGCTGGAGGCATCACAATTCTGGAGTACAGGTTATATTACAAAGCTATAGTGATCAAAACTAGCACAAAAATAGACATATAAATCAATAGAACACAATAGAAAATCCAGAAATGAACCCACAACTATAGGGTCAATTAATCTTTGGCAAAGCAGGAATGAATATTCCAGGGAAAAAGAGTCTTTTCAACAAATAGTGTTGGGAAAACTGGACAGCAACACGCAAAAGAATGAAACTGGACCACCTTCTTATACCATACACAAAAATAGCTTCAGAATGGGGCACCTGGGTGGCTCAGTTGGTTAAGCGACTGCCTTCGGCTCAGGTCATGATCCTGGAGTCCCAGGATCAAGTCTCACATCGGGCTCCCTGCTCAGCAGGGAGTCTGCTTCTCCCTCTGACCCTCTTCCCTCTTGTGCTCTCTCTCTCAAATAAATAAATAATCTAAAAATAAATAAATAAATAAATAAAAATAACTTCAGAATGGATGAAAGATAAAATCCTAGAGGAGAACATAGGCACTAACCTCTTTGACATCAGCCATAGCAACTTCTTTCTAGGTATGTCTCTGGAGGCAAGGAAAACAAAAGCAAAAATAAACAATTGGGACTTAATCAAAATAAAAAGCTTCTGCACAGGGAAGGAAGCAATCAACAAAACTAAAAGTCAGCCTATGTGGGAGGGATGGGGGAAGATATTTGCAAATGACATCTCTGATAAAGGGTTAGTATCCAAAATATATAAAGAACTTATACAACTCAACACCCCGAAAAACAAATAATCCAACTAAAAAATGGGTAAAAGAAACAGATGGACAATTTTTCCAAAGCACACATACAGCTGGCCAATAGACACATGAAACGATGCTCCATACCACTAATTATCAGGGAAATACAAATCAAAACTACAATGAGTTATCACCTCACACCTGCCAGAATGAATTTAAATCAAAAGCACAAGAAGTAACAGGTGTTGGTGAGGATATGGAAAGAGGGGAACCCTCCTGCACTGTTGGTGGGAACACAAACTGGTGCAGCCACTATGGAAAACAGTATGGAGTTTCCTCAAAAGGCTGAAAATAGACCTACCCTATGATCCAGCAATTGTACTACTAGGCATTTACCCAAAAAACACTAAAATACCAATTCAAATGGATACATGGACCCCGATGTTTATAGCAGCATTATCTACAATAGCCAAACTATGGAAATAGCCCAAGTGTCCATTGACTGATAAATGGATAAAGAACATGTGGTGTATACACACACACACACACACATATAATGGAATATTCCTCAGCTATCAAAAAAGAATGAAATCTTGCCCTTTGCAACAACATGGATAGAGCTAGACAGTATAATGCTAAGTGAAGTAAGTCAGTCAGAGAAACATAAATACCATATGATTTCACTCATGTGGAATTTAAAAAACAAAATGAACAAAGAGGCAGAAAAAAAGAGAGAGAGGGAGGCAAACCAAGAAACAAACTCTTAACTATAGAGAACAAACTGATGGTTACCAGAGGGGAGATGGATGGGGGGATGGGTGAAATAGGTGATGGGGATTAAGGAGGGCATTTGATGTGATGTTACCCGGGTATTGTATGTAATATTGAACCACTAAATTGTATACCTGAAATTAATATTACACTGTATGTTAACTAGCTGGAATTTAAATTAAAACTTTTTAAAAATGGTTAACTTTATTATTGGGTACTATGATAAGTACTACAAAATAAATAGAAATGAATAAGTATGAATAATTATGAGATATGATTTTTCCTACCAATTGCGGTGACTCTATTTTTTGTTCAGCCAGATTATGAATATCAGGAGCCAAGAGTAAGCTAAAAACTCCTTTAATTCCAGACCATGCTATAACAATTCCCCATCTCCAATTATATTCATAATTTGCATGCATCAGGATGGGGCTCACTAACACAATAGTAAGCAACCTGTGGAGAGAAAAAATTTTATTAATCACACCTGATGTATCAATGTTATTCATGGTTGAATACTAAATTTCATGTAAAACTTTTTCAGGAAAGAGAAAATAATCAGTTTATTGACAAGTTGTTCAAACTTTCTGGAACAAACCAAATCTACTGTCTAAATTTTGCATATAATACTCAAATCTTGAAAAACAGTGCTAGAAGTTTTATACAAATATAAGGAATTATCATTAACACTATTGGGCACTATTCAGATCTGGGTAGTAAATTTCTGAAAGAAAGTTCTTCAAATAACATTGACAAGCTCATCTATTCCAGAAATTAGGCCAAGACGACATGCAGATGATGGTCAAAAAGTAAAATTATTGTAGGCACATTAATAAACTTGGCTTAACCAAATTTTTCTTGAGCTCCCGTGAGAATCACAAACTAAATGTCATATAAGTAATCTCAATTTGTGCGATCATTTTTCTTTTCTTTTCAGAGTGGGGAGGAACAGATGGAGAGGGAGAAAGAGAATCTCAAGCAGGCTCCATACCCAGCACAGAGCCTGACGCAAGGCTTGATCTCACAATCCTAAGATCATGACCTAGGCTCTCAAGAGTCAGAGGCTTAACTGACGGAGTCACCAGGTGCCCCTCCTTTCTTTTTTCTTATTTGAGAATAGTTGACCCACAATGTTAACGATAGTTTCAGGTGTGCAACATAGTGACTCAACAACTCTACTCTTAATACTGTGCTCTCCACAAGTGTCTACAGATCATTTTTCTATAAGACCCTCTACCAAAAATTTAGAATCTATCTTTAGGGGATCTGCACCAAAAGAATATCAGTACTGTCCTTCAAATGAGATTTCAACAGAAATAAAATTGACATGTTCTTAGCCTCAAAAAATATATTGTGTATAATTGCTCAGCTGGGAATTTCACAAGACAATTTAGATAATTCTAACATTGAGAAATCTGCAATTACAATCTGTAATGTATATAATTAATTTGAGCAAACTTCTCTGCTTTGCATTTAAGTCTTTTGCAAAGTAATTCTTATCAACCTTTCACCCTTACTAAATGATCTTTCTCTGAAATACCATTAAGTCCAGCCAAAATAGAACAACTCATATCATTTCCTGATATCAACAACAGAAAGGCAGTGTATAAAAGGCTCTGGAGTGGGGCGCCTGGGTGGCTCAGTTGGTTAAGCGACTGCCTTCGGCTCGGGTCATGATCCTGGAGTCCCGGGATCGAGTTCCGCATCGGGCTCCCTGCTAGGCAGGGAGTCTGCTTCTCCCTCTGACCCTCCCCCCTCTCATGTGCTCTCTCTCCATTCTCACTCTCTCAAATAAATAAATAAAATCTTTAAAAAAAAAAAGAAAAGAAAAAGCTCTGGAGTCAGTATACCTGGGTTCCAATTGAGGCTGCTTTTCCTAACCATGTAAACTTAAGCAAGTTCTTTAACCTCTCTAAGCCTCAATTTCTTCACCTGTAAAGTGGAGATAGTAAGTGTACTTGCCTCAAAGGATTATTGTGAAGATTTGATTAAATGAGGCAACATTCACAGGACTTAGAATGATGTTTTGAATGTGGTCAGCACTCAATACATGTTAGAATAATTATTATGACCAGGCCTTAGTTTGGCTTCATCCTCTAAAATGTTTTTCTCAACAAGTCTCTTATGAAAAGTCCACCCATACTTTGAGGGCCCCTGAGGACGACTCCTTCATTGAAGGCTCTCCTCTAAGGAGGTGACAACAACAGTTCACATAAGGTCTCTGGCACTCCCTAGCCATTTGACTTTGGGCAAGGTACTTTGCCTTTGTTGGCCAGTTTCTTCATCCATAAAATTCTCATCTCCTAGTGTTGTTATGAAGATGAAATGAGACACCAGATGTGTAGCTGAGTCAAACAATGTACAAAAAGCCATTTCTCTTTCTTCATATTCTGTGACTAATCTCAACTTGCACATGAGCTTCCATGGTAGAAAGAAACGTAAATTGCATACACATCCTTGTGTGTGAGAGTGACTATCTGAGTGGCGTGCAGTGCCTTCAGAGTCAGCAAAAGCAATGTCCTCTGAGAACATCTTGTAAAGAAAGCTCCCTTGGCCAGGTCTGTCTTCAGTGGAAGCGACACTGTAATGAATTATTATCAAAGACACAACTTCTACAAGTGGGCAATGGAGTTCGAGAGAAAACATGTTCATGGGGTCAGGTTTAAACCCCAATTCTGGGGACGCGTGGGTGGCTCAGTTGGTTAAGCATCTGCCTTTGGCTCAGGTCATGATCCCAGAGTCCTGGGATCGAGCCCCTCATCGGGCTCCCTGCTCAGTGGGGAGCCTGCTTCTCCCTCTCCCTCTGTCCCTCCCCCGTTCATGTTCTCCCTCTCTCTCTCAAATAAATAAATAAAATCTTTTAAAAAATAAACCCCAATTCTACCCCTTGGGTAACTCTAGGCAAGTTTTTAACCTTCCTGGGCTTCAGTAACACCTACTTCATAGGGTTGTATTAGTATTAATGGCATAATGTACATGGTAGGTGTTTAATAAATGGCTTTATCATAGCTATGATGATAATTAAGGAGGATGAAAGTCAACAAAAACATTAAAAGCCATTAATCTGCTCCAGTGTTGCTCAAACTTTAACAAACATGTTGAAACAGTTTCCTGGATGGGCCCATGAATGTGCATTTCTACCAAGCTCATGGGTCATGATGCTGATGCTGCTGTTCTTGCCCCTTCTCCTTTTCTAGATGAAACTTTGAAGAGTAAACAGACCTCCCCCAATCGCACAGTAAGCTATTGTCAGGTTTTTTGACTCCACGTCCAGAGTTCTTCTTGCTATAACCCACTGCCTCCCAATTCTAATTCTGGGCTTAAGAACCTAAGTCCAGTAAGCAAACTTTAAGATATAATTCCTACCTTACAAAATTCACTGTTGCAAATAAGATGAACATGAAAACCACAGTATGAAATCCTAAATACTTGGTTTCTCCACATCCAATTACAATGCCAAAGAAAGTATATATTAATTGTTGGTATACAGTTGAAAACATTATTAGGAACCTAGGATGAATGGAAAATAAATCACATTTTAAGCAATGGGTTTTTTAAATAGTTGCCTTTTCACAGAAAAGCATGTATCCCATACCTATCATTCTTGTCTTAGCAGAGGTCCTTGCCTCCAGCACTGTTACAATCAACATTTAAAAAGAATTTTATTGGAACTAAAATACACCCGGCTCCATATTCTCCAATACTCTCATCACACCATGCCCATGGGCTGCTTCTCACAGGAGAATAGTAAGAGCAAGGCAGGAAAATAAGGCTCTCCACCTCCTCCCCCGATTGGTGATGTGGCAGTTTTGCTGAGCTTAGCTGGCATCATATCAAACTGTTGGGTCAGCCACAGCTAAACCCAGAACCACCTGGTTAACCTTGACTTTTCCAGCAGTTGACTGGATCACCTCACTGCCCTCTGCAGGATTTCTCCCTTCGTGATTTGCTTGAAAATCCCTTACCTTGAAAGTCTCTCCTGTCTGCTTTTCCATCTACTGAATTCCTAAAAATCTCATAAGGCTAACTCGAATCCTGTGTTCTTCATGAAACCATCCTAAGCACTCTCACTGGAAGTGATCCTCCTTTAAATCCCTACAGTGCCAATTGTCTATACCACCCTGGTTCGTTAAGCAGGCAAGTGAATTAGAATCACCCGTATTGCCTTTCCAAACATCTATACATCTGGCCCCGCCCCCAACGAGTCTTACTGAGTAGACCAGAACACAGTGGTTAGGGCTCAGGGCTGTTCTGGTTCCATGTGGTTACACACCTGCACCCAGGCCAGGTTTGACTTCTACAAGCACATTGCAAGTGCCGCCTCTGCTTGGGCCCCTCCATTGGGACTGTCCTTTTCAGCTAACTAGGTGAGTGTGCCTATTCCACAAACCAGCCTCCTTATAGGTGGTTTCAAGATCTACATTTAGAAAGCAGCATTAGGAAGCCTCATTTTGGCTTCAGAGGGAAACCATGTCCTCTGAAACAGCATTACCCCAATCAAAGCGATGGTCTAATTCTCTATCTGATTCCCATCTCCTGATTCATTAGATTCAGAACTCAGAGAAAGGAAGGGTTTGGGGTCCCCCCCACCAATGCTTAGTTTTCTGAAATTCAGAAATGATGGAATAACAGAATACTTTTTCAAATGTCTCCACAGGACCTAAAAAAAATGCGTTACATATAGTAGGATCCCAATAAATCTATAGTGATTCAGACTTACTAGTTTTTTTATAAACATGCCCACCACTCAACTATGAGTGCCTTCTGAGAAGGGGACTTATTTACATAGCCCCAAACCTAAGATACAACATCCAGGCCACAGTAGACATTAAGAAAGGATTGGTTGAATAGGTTCAAGAATAAACAATTAAATGAATAGAATGAATAATATATAATGATGTCTGTCAGACAGCTCAGCATGAGTGAGCTCAGGAAACTGTCCAGATTCAGACAAAAAGCATATATTCTATGAACTATTTATTCCCAAGCTTCTGGATTCTAAAAACCAGTTAAATGTCATATTTATATAGATACAAAATTAGAAGAGTTAATTATAGGTGCCAATTTTTTTATTTTGCCAAGTGAAATTATTTTTTTTAAAAAGTACCATCTTCTATCACTGGGTTCATAAAAGAAAGAACATTTTAAATGTTAAATTTTAATTTCTCACAATCCAAAGTAAATTTTTATCAAGAGTTATATATAAAAAGATCACAGCCTCTGAGCCACACATACATATTCATAACAAGAATATCAATCGATGTCAACAATTGGTACCTTAAGTGCTTTCAAATATAACTGGTAATAAATTTCAGAATTAAAAGGTAGAAAAAAGTTATAAATGGGGAGTCTTATGTGTCCAAGAAGGCAGAACCACTTAAGCACTAACCTATGATATCTATACCAAGTACACAATAGGAGACTTACTTAGTAATTATTAACTCAATCCTCGGTTTAAAGCTTAAGGAATCTAAATTCAGTCCAACAGTGACTAATGCAACCATTCCCGACATTCCCAAAAATTCCACTGGGGAGGAAAAAAATGAATAAAATTAGTTGAATTCGAATCTGCACACTGAGGTACTTTATCTTGAGTGAAGAATTGGTGAGAGACTTAAGAGTCACATTTCTTGGAAAGTTGCTTCAAAGGGATTGGCCTAATCCTATAGACCCAGGGTTGGCACACTTTGTCTGTAAAGGATCACAGAGTAAATATTTAGTCTTTGCAGACCACACAGTCCACGTCACAACTATGCAACTCAGCTGCTGTAGCAAAAAAGCAGCCACAGAAAGCTTGCCAACAAATGCGTGTCTAGTAAATAATAGACAGACACTGACAGTTGAAGCGCTTTGGAGCAGGGCAGAGCTGGTTGCTCTGGGCATGTGACCTCCCTTTTCTCTATTAGCATCCCTGCATCTGTAAAATGGGTATAAAAGAATAATGCCCCACAGTGTTGTTGTGTGGATTCAATTAAATAACATGAAAAATGCTTGGCACACTTTAAATCAATGAAGATATGATAGTCACTATTACTATGCCATTGTTTTTATACATTCACTTTACTGCTTAGTAAATTAATACTGTTTATTTGAATTTTATTTTTTTATTTTATTTTTTATATTTTCACTATTTTCAGTATTTATTTTATTATTCCTTTGGTTTATCTATCACTTAAGTCCACTTTAGATTTAGTTTTACCTACTTATCTAACTGAATTTAATATAAATAACCAATGAGAGTAAAACCAGGAGTGCTGGGAACTGTGATGATAGGGAAACTGTCTTTTGAAATCTTATTTCCACTTCCCTATAATTAGTATTACTGGATTTTAAAGCTCATCATAGTCTTTCTCAGTAATAGACGGTACTTACAGACAACATCTGCTATGAGGAAACCAGCAAATAATTTCATTTTAAAACTGATGTCATCTTATTTAGCATAATCCCAATGTTATAGAATTACATGGTATGAAGGCATACATTAACATATGTATGTATGTTTATACGTATTTTATTAAAAATGTATCCATGGTCTAATTTATAACACAGGTATATAGGTGATTTTTTTTGACTTTTCAGAATATTTCCAAAATTCTACAATCAATATGTGTTACTTTTATAATTAGACAACATTTTTACAAAATTACAAAAGCTATTATATTCAATTGTATTTTAAATGTTCCAAAGGAGGATAAAGTCATGGACTATGTAATAAAGGAAGTGATTTTCATCTTTATAAGGCTGAGTAGTTAAAAATAGACTTGTACAGTTTTTCTAACTCAATGGAAAAAACCATCACAGAAAATTGATGCTGTAGACAAGTGGCTCTCTCAATCTTTGTCTCTCTTTTCCTCTCTCTGGTTTAGAAAAAGTGAAGGTCCTCCTAAGAGAATCAAAGGGTTTTTTTTTTCCTAAAAGCAACAGGATTCAAGACTGGATGTTTTCTAACTAAAATATATTCCGGTAATGATGGAAGTTTGACATTTATTACCTAGACCAACGATGACAGTGAAGAGACAGTGGAGTGATCAGCACTGGCATGGGGAGGAAGGGGAGGCATTGTTTATAGAGAGTTTTAAAACAATAAAACTAATGAAAAGTTGTCTGCTCTTTGTTATCTCCATTCCCCAGAAATTCTGAATTATGTCAATAAAATATTCCTCTTGCTTGTTTAAGCACCTCTCTTGGTATACCTCTGGCCTACACTTTTATAAAACCCACCATGTCTCATGAATTATAAATTGACTCTTCAAGTGCCTTTTGTCCCCTCAATCAAATTTTCTTCCATGGGCCGATATATTAATATTTCCAACTGTACTACCTGTCAACCAACAATGTTCCAGAAGCATTGTGTCCTTTGCAAGGCAATATCTATGCCATTTTGTTTTGTTTTGTTTCATGAAAAAGAATGAATGTGCTGGTACAAGTGATTTCTTGAGGTCCAGGTTTCATGAATTGAACACAATTGAGACAAAAATGGGAAATTACTACATGCGCTCAAAGAGGTGACACTCTAACTTCAATCAGATGCTCCCTGGACTTAAGCCAGCCAATTGCATGTTCCTTAGTGAGGGAAGAAAACAAAATTAGATAACATGACAGAAATGTAACATTAGAGAATGTGTGAATTAGAATTTTATCTATGTTTGGCAATGGAATTTCTGGCAATGGAACTTCTCCTGATAATATGTCTGTTACTGACTTCTGCTGTCAGGAACTTATTAAATATAAGAGTAAAGGACTGCCCAAAGTGGTTTGTTAATCTGTGAAGCAGAGGAAAATGCAACAGAGGAGAGAGAAGTATCCATTTCTTTGCTGTAACAGAGTACCACAAACTATCTTAAACAGCATGAATTTATTGCCTCAGAATTCTGGAGGCTCGAGGTCCAACATCAAGGCTCCCTCAGCAGTGATTCCTTCTGAAACTAAAAGGAAGGATCTACTCCAGACCTCCCAACCACTGACTGGAAGCATCTTCATCTTTTAGAAAGAAAGTGGAAAGGAACCAACATTTGTTGGCTGCTCTAACTTGAGTCCAGTGGTGAGCTAGTAAGTGTTTAAAATCAGCTCTCTGGAGGTTAAAAAAATCCTTGATGGGTAGTGTCTGCCAATTTCCATGGCAGTAAATACTCCCCATAGGGCCAATTTCAAATGATGCCACCCGCACAGAGTTGTGAAGAGATGTGTGCAATCAGCTCTTACAAGGTGGTAAGCTCTATCTCCAGCATATCCGCATGAGCAAGTTACATAACACACATTATCTCATTAGTGCCAGCAATACCCCTATAAATTAGGTGTTACTATATCACATTTATAGATGAGGAAACTAAAGCTTAGAGAGGATAAGTAATATTCCAAGGTCAACAAGCTAATAAATTGTGAAGTTGGGGTCTGAATTCAAATCTGCCTAACTCCAAGTTCTTTGAGAACTAATATCAGTTTATTCAACCAACATGTCTTAAATTACTTTCAGGTATATGGGAAGCACTGGGTCTGGCTGGGGGAACACAGAAAAGAGAATAAATAAAAACTTGAAGAGACAGCCTCTACCTCAAGGAACTCATGATCTAGTGGAAGAAGTGGAAATATTAATTTAAAAAATTTTTTTCTTCACACATTTAAGGCATCCATAAAGGTTTCACAGGGAGAAAGAAAGAAAGAAAGAGAGAGAGAGAGAGAGAG